ATTCTTATACACTTTTTTAAGTTCCACATTTGTGTGACCATTTTTTCTATAATCTTTTTGATGCTGTAACACCATAATTTCCCCATTGTGGTACAACAAAGGGATTTTGTATTCTTTTCTGTACTGTTTTATTTTTATTTTTATAGTGCAGCCCTAACGACATTTCTTTATATTAGTTATTTATATAAGCAATACATATAGGATTTTAGAAATAAATTCTGTTATGATACAGTAATAAAATAATGATTTCCTTTATTTCATAGTTTTAAATCTGACCATGTCTTTTTTTTTTCTTTTCAGCAGACATATGTGTCCCCATCCAACCATCAGATGGCCCCTCCCAGTCCCAACAGCAATGGCAACAGCAACACCCCCACATTCAGCAATGGCAACAGCAACAGCATGAATGGAGCAGAGCAGCTAAGCAAAACCAACCTTTATATCCGTGGCCTGCATCCAGGAACCACAGACCAGGATCTGGTCAAACTCTGTCAGCCGTGAGTCGCACAAAAAGCAGTGCTCTTACACACTCAATAAATCTTTGCAGCTGTCGGCCATGAGCGGGAACCAGGGAATGCAGGATAGATAATGGTAGTGCTATTTGAAGTGATGGGTGCTTGGCTGAATTTTTTGCATGGGAAAGCTTACTTGCACTCAACATGCTTGAAGCATTGTTCATTTATGCTTTACATTTTGTATAATTTAATAATACATCCTGATAGCAATCAGACTTTGTTATTCAAAGGAAAAGTCACATTCTGCTCTATAAATAACACAATGAGGCTCATCAGCATGTATGTTAGGCTAGAAAATGTCAAACAAACAACAGCACCATCCAATCCATCTGATATGTTTGTTAGACCTATGGTTGGAGAGGAGATCAAAACATGGAGGGCTGAGATGAATGATCCGCTTTTACCTAATTGAATTCTGGAGCCTGGTGATGAAAACCAGGAGAGCAGCGAGAGAAATGGAGGGAAAAAAGGGGACTGGAGAAAGATTGAAAATAAGGGGAGGGGGGGCAAAGAAGGGAGGGCGAGGCCCGTTATTTTACAGCTGTCTGGAAGATATAGCTCACATGAGGCTGCCCAGCCTAACAGGAAACAGCAAACCCAAGGGAAAGGGAAAGACAAACAGGGCAGTGGTGTGGGGGTAGAGGGTCGAGGACGCAGAGAACCGGAGGGGGGAGGAGTGTCAGGTGGTGTTGCGTGGGGGTAGTTCTCATATTTCTGTTTTAACAGAGCAGATAAAGTCATTGCATGAAATTATCCTCTCAGCAGAGCCCATTATGATCGGTGAGATTTTCTCCTAAACTTGACTGAAGGAGGACGGTGTTCTCAATAGCAGCAGGAAACAGAGGAAAGTCACGTACCAGGAAGATAACTCATGGAACAAATCAGACTTTATGGCTCTTGGTTTGTTTAGTAAATGTGGACACAAACATGATAGGAAATCCCTGCCAAACAATCCCAACCCCCTACCCTGCCTGAAAGTTGTTGTATGCTGAGATTTACTACAAGTTTGTAATGAGAGGTGGGAATTCAACTTTAATCTCCTCCTCTGGCTCCTGTAGTTTTCTCCCTAGGAGATTTGTTGCCTCTCTGGTTCCTACCATTTCTTGTCTCTGGCTGTTAGCAATAGATGGATGCTGAGCTGGACTGTGTAAGAAGTGATGAAGTCTCACACATGAATAGGTCTCTGCTTTACTGTACAACATGGAGACCTCTGAGCACAATTCTGTTAAGTCTACTGTGTGAGCAGCAAGGATTCAAGCAGAGCTGCGAGGCTAAGAACGAGTTAATGCTGTGGGATCAACATGTAGATACAGCACACTAATTATGGGACGTGCTTACATATTATCTGGTGGTATTTTAAATATTTGCATCAGAAAAAACCACCATGTAGTATCTGTATCATAAAAATAACACATCCAGAGTCAAACAGAACTGCAGTAAGATAAAGAGTTAATTTACAGAGGATTGACCCTCTTTACTTGCGCTGTCTATCAAAGGTATTTATAACCCATCATATTACTATCACAATTCGTCACGATGCAACTACAAAAATAAAACATTAGTTTGTTTTTTTAAGTAATAAAAAACGCAAACTTAATACAGTATATGTATGTCGCTAAGGGGAACTGATTAAAAACATCTTCTATAGATAGAAATCTGAAAAATGAAGGAAACAATTTCCTTTAGAGAGCTGTATCGATATCGATATAATATCCATTACTGTAAAAATATCCATAGCTGTGTATTGGATATTTATTCTCCAGGTGCACAGTTTTGTATTCTTAAAACCCTTTACAGTACAGTATTTTTTTGTTCATCTTTTAACCCTTCACTATTATGTTATTCTTATACATCTTTCTAAGGTCCACATTTGTGTGACCATTTTTCTATAATCTTTTTGCTGCTGTAAACACCAGAATCCCCCATTGTGGGACAATAGAGGGATTTTTCTATTCTATTCTATTCTATTCTATTCTATTCTATTCTATTCTATTCTATTCTATTCTATTATTTTATATAATCAATTTCTAGTGCATTGACGAGTACAAACATCCAAACAATTTTCCCACTCTGATTTGAGATACATATTGATCCAAGTTGGACTGGACAAAAGAAAAATGTTAAAAAGAGATTTTCAAATGCTGTTACAGTTTGTGAAATAGATTAAGGTCTGGCATTTGTCTGGGCCAACACACACATATGATTGGATACAAAACCTTATCTTTTTAGCTCCTGCTTTATGTTTAAGGTTGTTATCCAGCTGTAAGGTGCTCCTAAAATAAGTTTTTAATGAAATATCTTGTATTTACATCAAATCCATCAAACTTCCCATCAGATCTCACCATTACTGAAAGGAAGTCCCCCCACAGCCTGATTCTGCCACTGCCATGGTTCTGTACAAAAGGAGTGTTTATACATATTCTCTGGCTTTTGGGCAAAAAAAAGGTTTTGTTTTGATGTCATTTGAATAAGGCACTGTCTTCCTCATATTTGTGTCCACTATATGACCCATTTTAGCTAACTGCTAATAAGATTTGTTATATTTGTTTTCACCAGTTACCTTTTCTTGCCACTCATCCCAAAACGACAGATTTGTGGAGTTTACAGCCTCTATACAAACCACTTGAATTGTAAAAAAATAAATAATTTTTCTTCTTTTATTCCTGGCATGAATGCATACTGTTATAGGGAGAAAAAAAGCATGGGCCCCTCTCTCGGGGTAAACCCATCCCAGGGCGCCCTGCCCTTCACAAAGAAAGGAGAACTCTCCTGCCAGCTTCTCCGGGTTTAATGGCGTTACCGCACTTAATCCTCCCTTTCACTGATTTTTCAGGAAGTTTAAATCGTTTTATTAAAAATTCCTTTAGTTATTTATAAACTGGATTGTTTAATTTCCTATGAAGTTTCAGAATTGTTTTTCTTTTAAAAATTATATAGAAATAAAATACTATCACCATTTAAATGTTAATATAAAGACAAAGAGCTTGAAAATGTTTCTCTCTGGGAAGAAGGCGATTTCCTGAAGATCTGCTTCTAATTGCATTATGCACAAGTACAGATCTATAGATATGAGCATATAGTGAAACCCTTACGTCTACACTGTCACCAACTCTGGATTACAGAGAAATATCACTTTTTAAGACTTTTCTGTCTGAACAGAAAGATTTATTTATTTATTTATTTATTTTTTGCCGTGCACACCTGTAGCCAAATTCACTTCTTTGTCCCATTAGGAATGTTTCTTTTTCCAGTTTTACTTTCTATGTTAACTATTTTATTTTCTATATTTGTTTCAAATTAGTAGAAAAATGGTATGCTGATTGAAGATTTCCCACTGTCTCAAAAAAAAAAGAAGAAAAAAAAAAAGGTGAAGTTGTGAATCTCCTGATGATCGCTTTAAACATTAAGTCAAAAATCCTCCATCCCTTAAAGTCTCATTGGGGTTTAGGAAAGGAGATTCTTATTTTAGGTTGATAAAGCACTTCTAATGTCTCTTCTTAGTCAATGAGATCCTGTTGGTTACAATGCAATTATAATAGGGAAAAAAAGTTTAATTAAAAAAAAATTCATTCAAGCAGCATTTATTAATCCTTGCAAAAGAGAAAATGCAAGCTTTACCAATGTTTTGTATGGTTTTGTTCCAGAAAGGTTTTCACTAACTACTACAACTTAACTGAAGGGCTGCCAATGTTTTACATACAGCTCTTGCAAAACCTGATACAAGCAGTTCCCACAAAGAGATGGATGTTGAATAACCTTGAACATGGGGGGAGTTTTACTCCACTCCAAACATCCTGTAGCTTCTACTAAACAAGTTCTTAGGCATCAGGAAGATAAGCCTGGACTCTTATCCAAAAGTCTAACCTGTGTGTGTTTGCCCGGACGAACATTTTTGTGCAATAAAGAAACAAAATCAAGCTCACATTCTGGAGAAGGCTGAGAAACAAATTAATAGAGAAATGTTTTTTCCCACCGCAATGCACAGGCAGATTTTTATTCGAAACAATTCACATGTTATTACCTGCCATTTCACAATTATGCACCACCTTGTGTCAGTCCTTGTCATAATATTGTAATAAATATATTAATGCTGATGAAAAAAAAAATTTACTTTTTGCATGACTTGTGTTTTTAGAGTAGATACTGAATTTGATATCAGTGTGTAACATATCAATATAGTATTAGTGTACATTGAGATAAAATATTCAATTTACAATATTGAATAAATATGTTTATTAGCCTCTTGATATAATTATAGATTTGAATTCCAGCATCACACAATCCTTTAAAAAGAATACGTGTCTGTCTCTGTTACATAAATAAAACCTTTCAGTAGTCCAGTAATCCTAGGTATATATAGGATTGCGTTTAGGCAGGCACTAAGACCCAGCAGAACGTTCAGAGGTTACACACGGAGAAGCCGGTTAGTTGAATGGGAGCATGGCTCAGAGCCAGCATTGGACAGGACAGCCAAGGAGAAGCATATCACATTACACTGGGTGCACATGCCTGGAGAAAGGAGCTGATAGACGCTGCTGCATGCAGAAGCATTAGCCTAGGTCAACTACTATCCGTTCTTTTCCTTTACAGTCTCTTCATGCACCAAAGATGGTGCCTGTGAGATAATCTGTAAATGCAACAGGGGGATTTTTTTTAACCCACTTGTCACATTATGTTGTGGATTCCCTCTTGAAGTATGACTCTGTCGATATTGTGCCTGAGCTGGAATGAAAAAGATGGAAAATCTTTAATTCTGTCTTGCATGTAGAAGCCCAGAATACATTACTGCAGTTCATTAAATTTACCCTCTGCCCTTAAAGATTTTTCAGATGCATATAATTTATTGTCAAGTTGTATAACTGAATTCACTATCGCTACTCATAAAGCACAGGCATATACATTTTGGTTTAGTCCTAAAGAGCACTGTGTTGAACATAGAAAAAAGCCACTGTTAACCAACATTTATATTATACATATTTTTAATGTCCTGTATAGTGATGATGCCTGAATTTAAATTTCATTATTTTGCAGGTATGGGAAAATTGTGTCTACCAAGGCCATCTTGGACAAGACGACCAACAAATGCAAAGGTGAGATGTCAAAAAACATTCCTTCCTGATTTTAAGTTAAGCCAAAAATTATTCATTCCATGGGTTTAGGAATAGAATAGCATAATATTTTATTTTCCAACAGAGAAATTAATGTATGTCAGCAAGTAAGAGACATTCATGAAAAGTACCAAAAATAAAAAACATTGAACTGTGCAGGAAAGAAAAAAAATGGATTTGTTACAAAATGACATTCATAGATCATATGGAAGAAATTTTTATGATAAAAATAAAACAGTTGCCTATATACAAAATTGGATTAACTAGTAATTAAAGTATGAATGTTAAAACAAACACTTAAGCAGCAGATAAAGTGCGTAGGGAGAAGTCATTGATACATGACAACCCTTTATGTGCATACAAAAACAGTTTAAATAACAGCATGGTTGTAAGAAGCATTCTGTCATCAGATAAACTAATTACATTTAACCAAGAATTTAGCTTCTGATTGGAGGATCCCCTATCAGATTCAGTTGAGGACTCTGGCTGGACCCCTTCCAACCATAATGTGACTTTGAGTCCGATGAAGCTTGAGTACAGCCCATTGTTGATGAGCCCTCCTCTCTAAAAGCTTTAGGTCTGTGTTCAACTTTCCTGATGCAACCTGTTCAAAGGGGATGTATGTGGGTGATGATGGTTTGCCTTTCATTACTTGGTGGATGCCCACTTTAAATTAATCATAGCTGGTTGGATTTTACAACTGAGGACAGTTTGGCTCACTGCCCAGGGCGACATCTATCAAGGGGCAACATGAGCTCTAAAAATAAAAACAAAACAAAAAAACAATACAGGAAGTTTTAATGAGTTTCAGTTGCTACTTTGGTTCTCAAATAAAGCTGAATGCCTGCACATAGTCCCATCTGACATTTTCAGAATTTCATCTTAAAATTCATGCTTGATTTATTTTTGCTCTTCTCTTTCTATTCAAATGTACTGCTCCTATGTTATATCCTTTCTACCTACGTTTAGTACGCCGGGACAGTTAATCAGTTTGGCTGCAAGCGAACCTGTCAAAAGTACCGACAAACTTTACCAAATCAGCAGTTGTACCTCTGACGGGGTAAAGAGTGGGTGTAATCTGCTCCAGAAACCGAAATCCAGCAAAGTTAAAAATCACCTTAAGTTTTGGTATATAACCATCCTCAGAGTTTAGGCACTGTAACAGTGTTTGCTGATGATGAGGTTTGTATCTGCTTCTTAGATTCTGACTTGTTTGTAAGTTAGATAACTATTTTTGCTGCGTTTGGTTTCCTCTTGTTTTCCTCAAAATCTAAAGAATCACAACTGACAAAGCAGTTTTTAAATTCAAGCCCCTGTACCTGTTATTTGGTATGGATCATACCTCATGTCTTAACTTATGCTTAATGTTCTGGTTTCTACAGGTTACGGCTTTGTGGACTTTGACAGTCCAACCTCAGCTCAAAAGGCAGTGACGGCACTGAAGGCTGTTGGAGTGCAGGCTCAGATGGCCAAGGTGAGAACCACCAAATATGCTACCATGATATGCGGGCTTTATTTCTAACAGGTTATTCGTATTTTTTCTTTTATTTTTAGCAGATTTTCAGAAAATACAAAGTTTAACAAAATGGAAAAAAAGCAATATTTTTTTCTTTTTTATAGAACTGATTACTTTTGTCCTGTTCCAAAGATTATCAACCAATATCCCCAAGGCTACATTGCACCCACTCAATAGATAAAAACACCAGGCATAATCCAAAACACAAATCCACCATAGCACAGCTCAGGATAGGTTGTTGATGTGAGGACTATAGCCAACAGAATGATTCTGGGTCCTAAAATACATCCCAAGGAAAAACAAAGCAAAAGTATCCCAAAGGGTAATAAACTGGCTCAGAAGGATATAAAAGATATGATAAAGCTGATTTGTACCATTCACTAAATGTATGTATCTGTTTTTAGTTGGAGAAATACAAAAGCAATGCAAGCACCATCTATTTATGACACCAGGAAGTAAAATAAAGCACATTGATTGTAACTGCTATAAAAATGTTTAAAAAACAGGTTAAAATAGTCTTCTCTCAGAATAGCTATTGAAGATGTAGCATATCATGACTGGTATTTTCAGTTTAATTGTAAATAATTATCTGTGCCATCAAATAGAAATTAATGAGTTGGAGAATGTCAAAATATAGGCTTAGAAATTTAAATTTATTTATTCTATTTTTTTATTCTATAAAGCTGTGGCCTTTGAATTTGAGTTTCTATTCAACTGCTTTACAGTAATGTGGTGTAAAACTGCGTGTTTTCCAGCCTTCCTGCTGAGAGTGCTTCATGGTTGTTTCCGTTGGGAATTTGCTGCGTGTCATTTTTTTTTGCCCTGCATGTTTGCTGCACGCTGAGCTGTCCGGGTCTGTTGCTAAATCTGTGACTTAATCCACCGAAGGATACGTGTGTGTTCACAGTGGTGATGGTGTCTGCGGAGTGGGTCCCAGGGGCCTCTCCCTGGGCTCCTTGTACAAAGGAGCTGCCTGTTCTCCCTAGTGGCTTCTGACTCAGTGTCTGAGCCTCTCCCCAGTCAGCAGGGCATAGTGCCCAGCCACCCGCCCTGTCAACCCACCACACACACACAAACAGACAACTTGACAATCATGCATGCTCTCCAGCAGCCTTCCCTACACTGGATTATCACACACACTCACAGTCACGCACAGCCACCAACACCCTGGGAAAGCTGATCTCACTTTAAGCTGGATCACTGACATTCATACCACCTCCCGCTCACAAAATAGCTCAATTTCACTCAAGCCTCGTGTTGGAGTTTACAAGAAGGCTCACGCTTGCGTCAGCACTCAGCACGCTCTCTGACTCACCCCAACACACTGACAGCTGAAGTTTGCAGCAGGTTTTCTCTGCTCATTCGCTCTGCAGAGTCAGAGCATAGAAAAAAGAGAGGAAGGTGAAGGAGAAATCACCTTCCTCATAGGTCGCACAGATTACACATGCATTATTCATGGAATGGAAATGAACTTGCGCGGCATTAACTGGCTTTTAATCACATCTCGGATGATAAATATGCATAATAGCCGGAGGTGATACAGAGCACGCATCTTGCAAGTTATCATAGGTCATATAAAAATTTGTTTGAGCTGCACATAAAGGACAGAAGGAATGAGCTCACTGAAACACAAGTGTCTTTTTATGAATTCATTTCATTCATTTTTTTTAACACTGATCTGGATGTGCAAAATATTTTACTCCGATTTATAAAACATGTAGTTGCATATAAGGTCAGAATTAGTGATACGTTATCTTTAGCGAGGAGACATAATGCTTCTCTTCTTAGATTAAAGAAGCACCAAGAAAGAAAGTTAGAGTGTCAGACCATTCATTAAACTAATTTGAAACAGTATGACTTTAGAATTAAGTAACAGAGACGGCTTTCTTCAGTTTGATGGTTTTATACCATCATTTTCTTTATTATTTTTTAATTAATCTTTTTTTTTAATCTGATTACAAACTGAGCTATTTTATTATTGTATTAGTTGATCAAAATGCACAAAATCTCAGACATGCATGTTTCCCTGTTTTAATTTGTAAAGGCAAATATCTAGGGATGCACTGGTTGATCAACCGACTGATCGGCCCTGATTTGCTTATTTACCTGGCTGAATAAAGTTTAAAAATATATATATATATCCAAAACCATTCTTTAGTTTTTACTGTTTCATTGGTTATTGTTCATGTGCTCAACTATTTTAGTAAAATAAGATTTAAACATTGCATTGTGATCTTGTAACAACTGTGTCTGTTGTAGAGGAAAATTGATATGATCAAAATTGCAATCGGTACGGTGAGGTTTTTAAAGATCAGTGATCTGCTCTAAAAAATTGCAATGGTGCTATATGATGATGCTATAAATATCCTTACCTATCATTTTTTATGGTGTTTTTTTAATCTCAAAGAAGCAATGAGATAACTTCTCCATGTTTCCATTCAGTAATCATGTTGTGTCTTTGTGTTCAGCAACAGGAACAGGACCCCACCAACCTGTACATCTCCAACCTTCCGCTGTCCATGGATGAATCTGAGTTGGAGAACATGCTGAAACCCTTCAGTCAGGCCATTTCCACTCGAATTCTTCGCGACTCCAACGGGACCAGCCGAGGGGTGGGCTTTGCCAGGTAGAAGTTTTGCTGTTATTAATCACATCTAGTCCTGCTTAGGATGTGGAAAAAAAAAACTTAAAATAAATTACATTAAAACAAATTTGAGAGAAATCAAATCTTTAATTTTATACATCTTTCATGGAAGAAAATCCCAAATTAACATATAATTGTATTTTTCAAAATCGCCAACAATGATCATTGATCGCTGTTATTACTTTAGCTTTTTCTTTTCTTTAGGCTTTAGGTCTTGGGGCACTGACCTTGGAAGAGCATTGACTTTGAGCACTGGCCATTTGTTTTAGACTATTACTAAAAAAAAAACACTTTTTTTAAAATCGTTTTCAGAGGCTATCAATTTTAAACTTTGATCTGCTGTTATTTTTTCTGTTATTTATTATGCATTTTATGTAATGCAATGTAGGCACTGATGAACAGATTCCAGTTGCTTATAGAGCAGGAATAGGCCCACAGCAGCACAGATCCTTCACCATACTTAAGAGTGGGTATGATATGCTTTTCCAAACATTTTCTATTTTTACGTCAGACCTTGGGGTACATTTTTATTCCCTAACATTAGAAATGACCTAGAATAATCGAAAGTTGGGACCTGCTGCAGGTCATCTATCAGAATCAAACAGAGGATTGGAGGCCAGCATGTTTTTTTTTTATTTTCTCTGTAAAAACCTCGATGCAGTCAGCTGGTTTTCCTTAGATAGAAACGTTTTTTACCAGCGTGACTGTATGATCTGATTAAATTGTCTCTGTAAAGTCCCTTGAGATGACATGTTTTGAATTGATGCGATATAAATAAACTGAACTGAATTAAATAAAAAAAAGAGAGGTAGTGGATTAAGCTATTTGAAAAATTAGCGATTTTGCACTTGAAACTTTGCTAATATCCATGCGACATATCTTGGAGAGCAGCAGTTCATAGTAGAAAAAGTATTTTTTTTTTTTTTTGTACTGACTAAGTGAGGGGAAGTCCAAGCACTCTGCGATTGGTCAGAATAAAAGTAGAGTGAATCAATTGCAGGAGGAGTTTAAGATTGCTGTAGATTTTACATCACCTGCTTATTATGCATACAGAAATGGGCCTCTGTGACATTTTACATCAATACAACAGGAACAAAGCTGGTCACAGATTATCAATGAGGTTATCCCCCATTTTTTATATATTGGGGAAAAAAATAGAAAAAAATAATCTGGTCAAAGATAGTAAATAGAAGTTATCTGGAGTAACAAATATTGTGAAGAAATTTAGATTAAAAAAAAAAATAATCATGAAATCATTATTAACAAAATTCTTCCCACCCACTAAATAATCTCTCTTAAATAAAATGTAAAAGTTATTTTTAAGTGTTATGTGATGTTATGCTTCTATAATGAAATATCTGATATTAAGACTTTTTGCACATCTTTAACCAAATGATATTGAGGTAACAGTGATTTTTTTAAGGTTATGGTTGATTAAAATTATTTCTGAAGAAATCAAAGAAAAAAAAACCCTCTTAAGTAAGAATGAGGGTAGGTGCGCTCCCTGGTGGTCGTTTCAAGTAGCAAATGCTTTCATTACTTCTTACAGGATGGAATCAACTGAGAAATGTGAGGCTATCATTCAACATTTCAATGGAAAATATATCAAAACTCCTCCTGGAGTTCCAGGTAAGGTTCGATTTCTTTTTTCCTTTATCAGCCATTTCTTTTTGTCCTCTGTAAAAAGGAAACAAACAAAAAAATAAAATCTCATATTGATTAGAAACATAGACCCTAATTAACTAAAATATTATTGGTGAAAGCAACCATGAGCTGTCATGATGATTTCTTATTAACTCCTGATTCAGCACAAACAGAGCCTCTTTTGTGTAAATTTGCTGATGGAGGCCAGAAGAAACGTCAAAGCCAAGGCAAATATCTCCAAAATGGTCGGTCGTGGACGAGAGATTCAGAATCTGTGAGTTTGTTTCTGATTGTTACATTTTTTTCCTGTAAATTAACTCTGATAGATGTCCTCCTTGCAGTTACGTAATCATTATTTCTCTTTTGTTTAGGGAGGAATGACTCTCACTTATGATCCCACCACAGCCCTACAGAACGGGTCAGTGCCGCACCTCTGATCTGTCTCATGCACAGCTACAGAAACTAGGATTATATGACAATCTTGCTTTATGTCTCTTTGTTTAGGTTCTATTCCTCTCCGTACAGCATTGCTCCCAATCGGATGATTGGACCAGCCTCGCTTGCCCCATACATGCCTTCCCATGTGTCCGCCTATCAGGTATGAGAATCATTTCTGAGGCAGGAAAAATAATCTCATTTATATGTACGCTATTATACTACCAATAGCTTATTAGATTGAATACAAGCTAATATGATTTAATGATTTTTACGTGTATTCATAAATCAATTTAATTAAATGAAAAGCAACCCACGTTTTATTCCCGCAATAGTCAACAAATATAGGAGAAGAATGTTCACAAATATATTTTATAACTTCCTTATATTCCATCTATGTTTGGGAAGCTTCTCAGTCATCCAGGTCATAGTCTTTCCACACACAAAAATTTAACTCGGAAACCAAGTCCAGTGAATTGTTTTTAAAAATGTTTTTGGAATATATTCCATCTACTTTCCTAGAAACTTCCAGCTTATCCTGAAGCCCTTTGTTGCATTCAGCCACAGGATATTAACTGATAGGGGGAGGTATTGGGTCAGTGTATCGGTAGTAAAGTCTATAGGATTTTCTGTAACTTCTTGAAAATACAGATAATCTTAAATTCCTTTAACTATGGGGTATCTTGAGTTACTGTTATGGCATCTTTGTTTTTACTGAATTACATGCTCTCCCTGTATAAAATTTTGAGTTACTTATCACAGCTATATAGATAATGTTTAATGTCTTTTTGGCTTTATCAGGTCTCTATGCTGTACTTCTTACTGTGGTGTTTAGACTATGTACTAAAAGGGGAATGGCTAAAGAAAATGTATTTCGATAAATAAATAAAAAATCCTGATGTCCTTGACTGTGCAGATACAGCTGTGTCTTTATATGCAAAATCTTTAATCAGGATCCTTGAAGTATATTTTGACTTTGAATGTTCCTGTTTTATCATTGTTTAATTTGTGTTCATATCACTTAATAATACATAGATTAAGTCGTATTGGCCCACTATCAGAATTAAAAGTTTTTATTCATTTTTTTATATGTTTGACACTTCATTATTGTGACTCATTATTCACCTACTTGGAAAAAAAAACATCCTTGGATGACAGCGGGGTGTAAAAAGCGCTGCTGCCAGATGTCTGAACAAGTTGCCAAAATATTTTCATTTTACATTGTTTCTTATGCAACTACAGCTCATTCGCTTTAGCTTGCATTAAAAGATCTTGGTTCTTAGTTCCAGAACTCTAAATAGACGTACTGGCATACAAACTTTGAAATCCATCCGTTCCTAACAGATCCCTGAGGTCTTGTGATCAGGGGATGCTGGTTGTGTCCTAAACAAGGTGGAAAAAAATTATGCAGCCTTTTCAGTGAAAAGTCTGGAGATGCTCCCTCTTTATCCTGTTGAGTCTGAGAACTGAGGTCTATGCTGAGCTTTTAAAAATTCACTAGAACACAATCTTTCTAGAGTTATTTCGTAATATCTGCTTGCAACGTTTTCTTTTCCATTTTTTTTTTTTTTTTTGATTAAGGTCCTAAAATGTTTGCTTGAGAAATATATAAAAAAAATAGTTACTTTACTTTAACATAGGGGAAGATCTGGACCAGTGATGTATATAACTTCTTTCTGTAAAGTGATCTTGTTGCCTGTCATGTGAACTAAATATTTACTTTTCCAGGTTCCTCTTTGTGTAACACAGCTTACATTTTTGATGCAACACCAGACTGTGCAGAACAACAGTGGTTGTTCTATATAAACCCCCTATGTTGCTATATTGAAAAAAATTAATATTGAATGTAAAAGCAGAATTTCTCAAAATGGCCAAACTTGTACAAGTTAAGGTCCTTTTTCTTCTTTAAAAAGAAGTAGCTTTTAGCTGTTTTCATACCATTTAAAAGTTAATGTAGCTACAGAGAGCAGTCAACCAAAATACACCTCTTTATCAAAACATTATGATAGCAATTTAGAGATATTGTAGAAATCCTTATCCAGAAGTTTATACCGAAAAAAGAAAAAAAAAAGACTCAGTTAGGATGTTAGTTGTTATAGTTCAGAAGTTTATACAAAAAAAAAAAGATTGAAATTGTTGGCACTATGATTCAGATTGTTTAGTTGTTTTGGTATAAACTTTACATTACCATGAATAATCCTATTTAGATCCGTCATTTCTAGGCAATACGTCGCAGCAACATTTAAACAGTTAAACATTAAAAAAAGAAGTTAGAGAACATCAAAATATCTGGTTAAAATAAAAACCAATGATTTCTAGGATCTGTTTTCTACCAATGGGGAGATTTTAGGTCATAATGGATAATACCCTGTTTTTTGACAGTTTATCAGCATAACCAGTTCAAACTGAATGGTGCTGCAGAAGTGGTGATTTGGGCTTGTTTTACAGTCCAAGGACTTTGACAGCTTGCAGTTACTGAGTCAGTCATGAATCCTCATGTATTGTTAGAGTGAAATGACAGGATCCCAAACAAGCGAACAGTGCATTTTGTTATCTGGATGTTAGAGGACTGGTGATTATCCATTTACTGATAAGTGGATTTTGGCAATGAAGGACTGCCTTACATGAATACAGTTCTGCTGTTTACTGTATCAGAGAGGACGGTACAACAAATACAATGAAAAATGTAAACAGGAGCTATATTATTCCTAAATGACAGATTTTGATATGGTTTGTTTTCTCTTCCTTATGCAGGTACACAATCCCTCCTGGCTACATCATCAGTCATACATCATGCCTCCCACAGTGAGTTTCTTTTAACCTTTTTTCTAAATTCCTCTGTCTTCACATTCTGTTGCCCTCATTCCGCCCCTCATCTCCTGCCTGAACATGTCTTACCAGCTTTGTCTGTTGTGCCTTTTTCCACAGGGAGCCGTCCTCGCGTCAGGAATGGAGCACTCCATGTCCATCCAGCCGACCTCCATGATAGGACCCCTGACACAGCAGCTCAGTCACCTTTCTATGGGCAGCAGCGGCCCAGTAAGTAGATGACAGGCTGCTGCTGCTGACATTTCACTCTTGAATCTCCGCTAACTATTTTTGGATTTCTGTCTCAGTGAAAACGGATGACTAAATCCATAAGTCTATGACAGCATTCAGGTTTCTTATTACCATCAAGTTAGAATAGAAACATTTAGGTCATTTTTGCCCTCTAAGTATGCTTTTCTAAAACAGCTTTTTATCCTGCAGAGGAAGACTTTGCACAGCTGTATTTTTAATATCGGTCTACATTTCTTTAATGAGCTTAATGTTCTTATTTTCCCTATCCAGTATATGCCGACAAACACATCTATGCAGGGGACTTACATCCCCCCATACACCCAAGTGCCTGCCACCAACATTTCAGTTGAGGTAATACCTTTTTATCTTTAAGTTTCATATTTAAAATCTGTGATGAACTAAATCACTTATTACTTTAATCCCTGATGTTTCTTTAAGGAAAGTGCCGTCCAGCAGCCTGTTCCCATTGGTACTCCAACAGAACACACGGCGTACTCCTACCAGCATAACAAATGAAGCCGTCGGTTTGGATCTTTGCTTTCTTTGTGTGTGCACAAATCTTCTTATACAAACATAAATCTGCTGCAGCAGAGACCGTTTTTCATTGGCTGCCCTCTGTCTCAGATCGTGCTCTGGAGCCTGGAATGACTGTCCGGGGGCCGAAGTGCTGAAACCCTGCTGTGTGACTCTCCGTGTAAAGCAGCAGAAACTTGGAGGTCAGGTGGACTCGGACTGTTTCATGTAAAGGACACAAAAACAAAAGATGTTTTCCATGAACTCATATTTGAAAGCAAAGTAGAGAACAGCGCGAAAGCAGGAAGAATGGAACATGGGGCATCTATTTTGATAAGAACTCGAACACTACACAATTTTAAGGTTTTACATCACAAATGGGGGTTTCTTATGTTACGTCGGCAAGCTTAGAAGAAAATCAGGAAAATATTTTTTTTGTTTGACTTTTGTGTAAAATACGCCGAGATTGTTTCCCTTTTTGTCTGATATTTTCAGCCGTTGAACTGCCTTCTTGTACATTTTTTTCTTTTTCTTTCTTTTAATTTTTTTTTGAAAGTTCTGATTTGTCAAAGGTATTTGATTGAAGTACTTCAAACTGACAGCTCTTTTATTCTCTTGGATAAGTGGCAGGTTTATCAGTCGTGAAGCCTTATTTAAGCTGGTTTGACTCCTATAATTTATAGTCTCGACAAAGCTCCAGACAATCACACAATAAGAAGATTAGAAGGTAGGGAAAACTTTCAGATAAAGCTGATTGATGACATATTTATCACTTTTAACTTCCCATAAAAAAGGACATACAGTAATGAAAAGGTTAGACCAAACTTGTTTTCTTAAATTCCTTCTTCTAAAAGTACCTAAAGAATACATTGAACACCCAAAAACAACAGCAAGGGTGACCTAATAGCTCTTTCCATGATTGCAGTTTCAAAGCATTCCAGATACAGAGGCATGCAAAAGATTTCTTTGAATTATTTGCTGGATTTGCAAAAGTCGTAAACTTAAAGACGGCATGTTTAATTCTGTTATTTAATGATTTCCAACAAACACTGTGTGCAGATTAGTGTGTGAGCTTTTTTGGGGGCATCAGCTGAAACTCAGTTTGCACAGCACATATAGGACCTAAAAAGGTACAGCCATTAACCCAGTTATCCTACATCAAACATGTTTAGGGAATCAACAGAGGGCTATTATGTAACTTCCAGAAAAACTCATGTAGTGGTGTGGGCATTTTTTTTTTCCATCACCTGAGTCCCTGTTTGAATGCTGGCTGTGTGGACAGTTTAGTTTGTGTTTTCATAAGCTTGGTCGAACATATATTGAGGTTGCTTAGCATCCACTTACAGCCTTGCTATGATTTGTTACAGTGCAGAAAACATCCCTGGACTGCTTTTATTCATCATTAAAACAAAAAAGTCAGACTTTATTATTTTTAGAATGCTGTGTTTTCTCCACACATGTTACAGTTTTATATTTGAGGCTTGTGGTGCTGAAAAGTATTTGTTTTTAATTAGTTGTTCAGTTTTTTTCAACTGAATATAATTCTCGTTATCCTCGCTAGAATATGGAGATCTGTACAAGGCGATTTGATTACGTGTGCAGCTTGATTGGTGCATAGGTAATATGTTGTGTTGGAGTGTTACAAAGCAATTATAAGCAGGTTTATTACAACTTCAAAAAATATTCCAGACCTAAACTGAAGTAAGATTCCTAGTAGTTCATTCCATAAAATTATTTATTGTTTAATTATAACTTGGTTTTATCGTGCTAAGTAAAAATAAATGGTTAAAGTGGTCCAGAGCTGCTTCATTACTTATGTAATAATAATTTTTAAAGCTTCAATGTTCTCATGTAAAAGAGAAACTGGAATAAGTAATAGTTCAAACAAGCAGATTGATTAATCTGGAATTTTTTTTACAAGACATTATTTGTCATGTAAAATTGAACAAACTCTATGCACTTTACTTTTCAGCAAAACCACAATTACAGTCTTTAGAAAGAATAAACAAATATTTTTTAGGTCATCATAGCTGTTTTTTTTTAATACTACATATAAGTTCTATATAAAACTTGGTTGAAAATAAATACAGGAGGGAAATAGATAAACTGCTGCCAACAAACAGAATTCATTTTGAGGTTTTTAGTGCCATTAAAGGGGGTTTAAGCACACTTGTATAATTCTATTCAATTCAGTTTATATAACACCAATTCACAGCACATGTCATCTCAAGGCACTTTACAATTCAAACAGATCATCTAAGGAAAACCAGCTGATTGCATCAACCCATTGACTCAAAAGCAATCCCATACACATCTTTACTTTTATGCCTTTTGGATTTTGGTTCTATGTCTGCAAGCGGTGATTAACATTTTAAAGACTTAGCTTTTGCATGCCACTGTGTTATCAGATTAAATTGAATAGGCACTCTGAGCTGGTTCACACAGTACAATTCAAAGCTGGTCAACAGGGATCAAAACACACACACAGCTGCATGTAAATAATAGACATAAATGCATTCATACTTGCTTTGGATAATTTTTTTTTATTACTATGAAGGAATGCTTTGATCATATCAGTCCAACTGGTCTAGACTTTTCAATTAATTCAATAAAAGGTGAGGCTGTTTTTTCCCCAAAATCCCATTAAAAGGGATTTTACGAAAAAGGAATGAGAGGCTGTTATATGAAGCATGAGTCTATGCCCTGATAAAGTGAAAAGAAAAAACAAAAACAGAATAAACACTACCAAGATGATATTTTTTGGCCTGTATGGAGAAGCTTTAAACTGTATTGGTTATTGCTGTAAGTTTGCCTGCTTTTAATCTTTGTTGCGTGTCACTGTTGTTATTTAAATGTTTTCCTTTTTATACTTTTTAAAGTTGTTCCTATTTTTCAAAGAGGCTTTGATTTTATTTTTGATAGGGTTTTTTGTGTGTTGAGAAGTAGATGAGAGTTTTGTTTTCCTTGTACATTTTGTTTTCTTCAGATAGTGATGATTTAAATGTTTTCATTCTTGTTCCAGATTCACTGCTGGTGTAAAAAGGCTTTAATATTTTCAGAGACACTTTTCATTGCGTCTGTGTCACACATGCCGACACTTTATAAATCTGATCAGCTATTGTGTTAGGTTCAGATTGTTACAGAATTAAAACCAATGCAGTTGGGATCAGTGGTTTAAATAAGGTCAAAACCTCAGTTTACCTCATTCTGCTAAAGCAATGACTCAATGACTCAGTTCTGTGTGTAAGGTTCAGGGTTAGTTATTCCCTACAGGCGGCTCACAGCTGGTACTGTCCTCATCCGTCCAATCTTTTGAAACTATGCCCAAAGGTCTGATCTATGCAATCCATTATTTTCCAAATAAATGCTATACTAAAAACACCCGAAATACACCTCAGATTATGATAGTAGTTAAACTCACAATGGCTTTACATCAATCGCTTTTATCTTTCTTTATAAAGATGCTTTCCCTTTAAAACTCCATATGTTTTGGCATTATAAAAGGCCTGATTTACTGGGGTTTTTCTATCAAGTATGGAGTAATGATCTTGCTGCCAGTCACCTGGAAGAAGCAAAGCTATATTGCTTTATCTGACTTCCAGGAAAACAAAAATTCAGCCATTTGGATTCCCCAAAACTCCCATTGATAACTTATTTAAAGCTTTGAGCTGGATGGCTAAACAAAAGCGGTTTAGTTTCTATTTTTAGTTGAAATTTTCATGCAGTGAGAATCCCTGCCATATTTAGTCCAGTCATTATTGCAACACTGTAAGGCAACAATGTCTGATGAAATTTGGGTTTTAAACAGAGCTGCAGGAAATGTATAGGCAGCAATATAAAATGGTAGGTGTAACATTGTATGCATAAAGATATGAAATGTGTTCTTTTAGTGAATCCATCAATTAATTCATTTTTTTTTTTTTTTTGTATTTCACTTTAATGTAATTTAAAACATTTTTTTTCAAACAAGAAAAACAACAGACTGGCTAATTGATAAAACTAGTGGAAACAAATAGGGAAATGCTTCTGTCATTCGCTGGGTTTTAACTCTGGATTCTTTTTCATGCACTGCATTTGTTGGTTTGAGTCTAAATACATGCTGCTGCTAATTTGGGATTTCTATCTTGTAGCTGAAGGTCATTCATTGTTTCACATGTGAGGTCAATGTGTAGCCATTTTTTTATGACCATGAATTCCTGTTTTTCATGCACCGGTTTCTCCTCAGTAATGATTGATGATGCAGCTTTTTGTTGTCCTCAGATAAAGGGGAAAGCATCCCCACTTGTTGCTTGGTTTGACATTTTAAATAAACATTTTTTTCATTGTAGTTTGCTTTTGAATTATTTACAAGTGCATCTCACAGAATTAGAACACCATTCAAAAGGTGATAACATTTGAAAAATGAAGCTCATGTGTATTACACGGTGTGATAGACATTTAATATTGCTAATTTCAATGATGTGGGAAAAGCCCAGAAATCTAGGTTTTGGTTCAAATCATGACGAAGGCTGTGCAATCAAGACATCCAAGTCAAGTGGAAGGAAAAGATGCACCGCCATAATCTGTATTGAGAGGATTGTAAAGTGAGAGACAAACACACTGCGACATACTGTATGTTTGGTTTAACGCAAGAATTGCAACCAAAAAATACCAGATGTCTCACCCTGGGAAGGAAAATGACTGTACTGCTGCACAGTGGCCTTTTTAGATTAAAGTAACACCTGCATTTGATTTAAAAAATCAAGGCAATGGAGTCTGAATTTAGAGTTGAGACAGACAGGGTCCTTGATTCTCTAGGTTTACAGCAGACTGAGTTTCATAGGCTGGGGTTGGTCCATTACCTCAACATTTTAAAGCTGGATCTCCCTCTATTGGAAGTGCTTATGGTATTGGCCTAGTGTTTAGGGCTCTGAGCTTGAACCCCACTCCCACAAACTGTCACTCTGGCTCTCTGAGCAAGATCCCACAATGCACCACACAATGGCAGCCACTGCTCCCAAAGGGGATGAGTTAAATGCAAAGGTAAAATGATTAAAAAAAAAAAAAGTTCAATTATTAGTAAAGCAACAGCACTGCAGTTATTTAATTCATGCTAGATGAGTCCTGACCACATGGAGTGCATTTACTCTGCTAACTAAATTCTGGGTTTTCAGTAAGCTGCGATAATCAAAGACGAACAGTCCATATGCGACAGGGCTATTTGGATAATTTCAGAAAAACCCTAAAAAAAAGACAGAACAAGAAATACATAAAAATGTTTATTGTTACATCTTGGGCTGTATATAGTTCAAGTATGTACAAAAATTCAAAATACACCGAATGACCAAAAAGTTGCTGCCTAACAAAAAAGACTCAAATACATAAAATAGATTTTAATTTACAATTTTATCAAGAATAAGGAAATGGCATTTTTTTTACCCTGCTGAATTAGGCTTTAAATGCTCGGTTACACCTGGATTGCTAAAAGTAAGACATTGTTTTATTTAAATGATAAATCATACTCTGAGGCAGCATCTCCTTGACCTTTTATTCCATCATCCATGGTAAGCACTATCCATACTGCACAGACCTGTAGCTGTCAGGTGACTAAACAGAAAAAAATATTCTGAGTAAGTGTTCATAGATGAAAGTTGGCAGCCCTTTTGTCATTTTAACAAACTATGGGAGAATGTATTTTAATGGTAAATTCAGATTATGCAACACTGTGATGTCACAGACTGACAATCTCAGAGTATGATTCATTACAGAACACATCACTACATATGATGCAAAAACAGTTGTGGCTGGGTAATACAGCCAATTGCAAAGTGTTTTAGCTGCTATTCCGATGCTCCCCTGCAGCATCAAGTCAAAGAAATAAAGAAAAGGAGTGGGAGGCAGTGATTTAAGCTCCAGCAACATCCTGTCAGCCAACGTTAGCCCAGGGGGGCTTTGATGAAACAGCTGGTTTCTGGTCAGAGGGGCTGGTGTGCAAGTCTTGGTTGAACCTCCTGAGGAATGGAGCTCACCCTTCATCATGAACCGACTTTAAAGTCTCTGGACAGCCGCCGTGATATCACAACAATTTGTGGTTCACAATCTCCCAAACCATCCTTCTTCTGAAGTACGGCATGTGTTTCTGTTTAACAAAGGAGTTATCCACATTTAGAGCACTGTGACTGATACAGATTTTTATTTAACAATGTCTGATTACCTGTGTGAATGTGATGGGTTTGTCTTTGGTAATATAATCTGCATATTTGCAAGTGAACATTCCACAGTCGCTGCCATTCATCTGCTGAGGGATCTCCTGCAGCAAAACAGAAAAGCATATTGCAGAATAAATGACCAAATAAAAACAACATAAAAAACACAGATTGGAAACATATCCAGTCACAGAAGAAAATGATTTTCAAAACAACCCCACCACGCAAAGTATTATTTCAATCGTACCCAGTGTGGTTGAAGTTTAAGGATATTAAAACCCAATTCCACAGCCGGTCTAAACTAATGCAGCACAGAATAATGGATGGACTGCATTAGTGTGCTTGACGCAGAACTGTAATTTCTGCTGTTTTGTAATCAAACATGCCTCAATACCAGTATTAGTATCTTTTGTTGTTATGACACTTAACATTTTTTGGTCATTTTCACTACATAGCCTTATAATTCCAAACCGTAAAAGGTAGAAAACAGAGCTGAAAGAGTTAATATGGTTAATTGAATTTGTCGACTAATTTAGTAATAGATGATTCATAATTGGAGTACAGAGACTCTAAAACATGCCTTTAGCAGACAGAGCAGTAATTATACCAAAATTGCAATATCAATATGCTCTATCCAGTGAAATACTTTTATTTTTAACCTGGTTTATATTCTGTAAAAAGATTCTTTAAGGAACCTTTTCCTATCTAGCCCTAGTAGAGGATATTTATGGAGACATGAAACGGTTATAATTGTTTACTCTGGAGATTATTTATTAGTTCAGGACAGAGCACATTTACAGATAATCAAAGCTTTGTTTTCTACTTTGAGTGTAAAACATTCTCTTTAGAAAAAAAATGACTTGTTTAGTCTGTGTACGTCAATTGTTTTAATAATTGGTCATAATTTATATTCTCAGCCATAAAAAAAGTCTGAATTCCATTAAATGTGTGTGTTAGATAAAACAAAATGTTTATAGAATTATTCTGCCCTCTGCAGGCCATCATGCTTTAGAACTGCTGTTGTTTACAAGAGGAAACACTTAGCATTTCTAAATACAGAATTTATTAGAGAAAAGGAAATGCTTCTAGAGCTTTATGGGTTAAACTTACACTGGGCTTCTTGCTGTGGAGAGTCCAGCCTGAGGTATCAAGTTCTCTGCCTTTTTTGTCTCTACTTTCCTGTTGCAAGTAGTCACTGTGAACACAGACAAGAATTTCTCTTATAATAGGTCACTTAGATGATGGGATTGAACTTTAAATATGAAAGCTTCCAACAAACCAAAGGATAGAAACGTACAAAAGCATTTTACAAGCTTCATTGTTGCTTCCTCCCATAGAATCAAAGTACAAAACACACTTTTTACGGAAATCCACCACCTGAAAAAGAAGACAAAGTATTACAGAGAAAAATCTTCTAAATACGAAGATCCAGTTTTAAAATGGCCTTAATTTAGGCTTACTGAGAGGCACCAGTGCATCCCTAGGTGGACAGGAACCAAAAGGATGTCTTTAGCAAAAATGTCCATCTTTTTG